GAACCATTTTTGCCAAACGGAAATTGCTTACGCTTCCGGTTCAATAGAATCAATATGAATGTTACACACACATTCACACATTCACATACTTACATGCCAACCGCCCCATAAAATTCTAGCCTGAGTTCGGGTCGATAATGGGAGAAAATAAATTTCTATTCGAAACGTTGTTTATTTCCGTGCTAAAGATAGAAAGATACCAATTTATCTATGCAACTGAATGAATGCGGGATTTCACTTTAAAAAAAACTCAATGAATACATACCATTTGCATCTGGTTAGAGTCCTTTTGAAATCATTCAAACATAAGTATATCTATGGACAATAGAAAAATCAAAACATACTTTTCCCATTTGAATATCGATGGATGGAGGGAAAAAATAACACACGGCGAGAATGTATATCGGTTGTTCATTTCCTTTGGTCTTTACTTTATTTGTTTTTTTTCCTACCCAAAATATCACCTGCAAACCAAAAACAAACGAAATATGTGCAAAATATCGTTGAAATAAAAATTCATCTTTGAGCTACAAAATCAACAAATAAAAACCATTCTGTGAAAGCATGGGTAGATTAATTTCACCCAAAAATTGAAATGATTCAAAATGATAAATTGAATGTTTTTTTTTTAATTTAGTGGAGGTTTAATAAGCTCTTCGATATTGTTTCCACTTCAAATGCTTGTCATGACAACTAGCATGACAACGACATTTAAGTTTTTCTCATAAATTTAAAATGAACAATTGCCTAGGAAATTACACCCAATGTATTCAAGTATACCTTGCCTACTATGATGAGTTATTCTAGTGAAATGCTTGCCTACACAGCAAAAAAAAATTCAGCCATCAAAAATGAGTGCTTCAAAATGCGAAAAGACACTTTCTAACAACATCAACAGCACTGTCATTTTCATCAAGTTTGCATTTTCCCAATTGTAGTTTGATAGTTCTGTTTTTGAATTGTTTTCCATTTGATGGCACAAAATTTCGTGGATTTGCTAGCTTATTGTCTATTGCATCAACAATTCTAAAAATGCTTTAATTTGTTATGGCACAAGCCATTTCTTCTTGTCAGCGGCGCATTAAAAAAAACTTGAAAGCAATACGACAGGTCTTGCATTAAGTGACATTTTAAAAATCGTGCGACATATCCCAAAACTAAAAATATAATTAATTCGAGTTTTGCAGACACATTTTCAATGCTACACTAAGTGAAAGAATTAAACAATTGTTGACTTAAGTCACTGTTCATTTTGATGAGATGCTCTTTTCAAATGCAGCTTCAATATTGTTACCATTTGCTGCTGTTGATGTTATTATAGCAGTTGTGTGCATTTTGCTGGAACAAACGTTTTTGTTTTTGTAGGTATTTTTCTTTCGCTTCACACGAATCCCAACAAAAGAAGAATAGAAGTGAGCAATCGTAAATTGGACTGTCATTTACAACTTGGCATTTAATTTCATTGTTCGAAAAGTAAATTTCGTCCCAATTTGCAAAATCACACATACGAAGAAATAGTTAGTAGAATTGGATGGAAAAGCGAGTGGAAAAACGAGAAGGCAAGCGAAAAGTTACTGTCATTGGAATTCAAATGACTGTGTTATTTGAATGGTATTCAAGCAGTTCAGTCGAAAGATGCATCATTGTTTGTGACATTATTTGTCTTTTGTTCGCAATCATGTTGTGATCTACTTTGGTTTAGATTGGCTTAAATTGGCCCGATTCGTTGAATATATAATGAGCACACGCTGCCTGGATGAGAAGACGTGCGAGACTCCTTGAATATCGCTAATGGGCAATCGCAATATGCGCAACTGTCATTCTATTTCAAAAAGCACATTGACGATTGTCGGGCTGTGTGTCTGATTAGTCCTTTTTCTAATAAAAACCAAGACCATTTTTTCAACTTGTTATGCGAACGGTGAACGAGCGTTTTTCAGTTTGGATTTTCACTTTGTCGGAACTTTGTCATTTGTTATTCTTGAAATGGGTATTTAAATTCAAAAACTGAAATGGAAATGGAAATGAATTCCCAAGTTTTTTGACAGTGCTTCGATGACAAAACATGGGATTTGACTTTTGTTGTTTTTTTCTGCTCGCTGAATATTTTAGTCGACAAAAGTTTGCGCTAGAACATTTCCGAACTGCTTTATTTGGTATGTGCACCGGGTTCTTTTTGCTCTGTTTCTAAAAATGAATAATTTATTTCAATCACTAGGTTTTTGCATATTTCCTGAAGGAATAAAAATGCCTGTTTATTTGGCCAGCAGCTATGTGTCAATATGTCAGCAATAATAAACGGACTTTGATTTGCACTTTAATTGAATATATTTCGACAGCTTTGAAAATCGATCGGAATGAAAATGGGAACGTTGCATGGAAAAAAAAATTGGGATATTCACGTATAAATATCGCTTTTATCGACCATGCGTCAATTACGAAATTAAAATGAATACGATATTCCAGTATATGTGCAGAAATGTCTGGTTTTGGGGCCAAAAGAATGTGTTTTTCTGTCGATCCCATATCCGCGTTACGTTCCAAAGCCAAAACAATGTTTACAGTTCGAGATTCGGTTTCCATTTTCAGTTTCTCTCACTCTTTTTTCCTCCATGTTCGCGGCATTTACATAAATAACAAACGCTTCTGAGTCGTTAAGAAATAACAAATCTATCTACAAAACGATACAAATTATGGAAAGGCACGCGACAATCACTCCAAACTTTGGCTTCACTTTTTCCTATTTTGGCTTTGGGTTTTTCCGAATCGTTCGGGAAATGTTTTGCAAGCAGTGGCGCGGTCTTAGCGTATATGTTAGTCAAAGTTGACTGGTTTCGCTTTCGTTTGATTGAGGATCGATGTGAAATGTGTGTGTGAGTGTGTGTTGTGTACTTGTAGAAAACGAGTCATTCTGGGGGCTTCGGTTCGCCTGTACGCGAAAATTAATGTAACATGTGAAATGAGCGTAAATTGTGTCAAACGAACGAAGAAAGTGAATAATTTGAAAAAAAGGGAAGGGGTGCGGTAAACGTGTGCGGGACGGTTTTCTATTTCGAATCGATTCGTCGAGTTACATTTGCAGGTATGTCAAAACAGTAGTCGTCGTGTTTCAGCAAAAACACGTTCACTTTTGGTTTGACTGAACACAAATTCCTCTTCAACGCCTCTTATTACATCGCAATGCCGTCCCTTTCATCCAAACATCGGTCTATTTACGGTATATCGATTGACCCACACCAGAATGATTTGGTTCGGAGAATCCGTTTTTTTATCCGTTTGAAAATAGAACTGGGGAAATTTACATTAAAATTTAATGGAATTGCTCATAAACAAGTCTTCCATCACATTTCGCATTCTCGTGATGCTTTTCTTTAATTCATCGGTAAATATAATTACGTCCATTGAAATACGAGATTCCATTTCATTACCCGCTGTATTTTTGCAAGTCAATTATGTACATAAAAAAACAACGGTGATTCTATTGGTGCTTTTAATGCTTGTTTTAATGTTTATGTAATCAAAATTACGAATGACCTCGGTCATATACGGAACAATCATTAGAAAGAAGTTAAATAACACACATTACACATTCAAAATACCGACCGAATTACGTGCCGCGAAGAAGTTTCTGGATTGTACTGTGATGGGAAACTGGTCCCATACGGTTGGCCTAGGCCAAATAGTAATATGGAAAATGCCAAACCGAAACTAATCCAAGTGGCTTTCGGGGTAAATCCGACACCCAGCCATATACAATTTTTCGCACAGTCTCTCGTTTCGTAGCTCAAATGGCCGAGAACTGAACACCAACCACAGCACAAATGGTCTCGTTCTCTTTCGAATAATTCATACCTTGTCCCGGTATTTCAGGTTGCTATGGTTGTTCCACTTGCACGTCGAGTTTGTTGCTTATGGCAACGTGTGGTTTTAGTGTCACTGTTTCTCCATTGTTGTGAACAATTGTTTCGTAAAAATCGATCCCAAATTACGAGGGACGAAAATTCAAAACTTTTCGTGTGCACACAAACAAACCGACACCCGATGTCTGAATGGTGCATCGGAGCAATTTAAATCGACGTCAATTAACGCTATTCAATAATGAATGAACGAGAATTCGATGTGCGTTCAACTCGCCCACTCACGCTTTCGACCCCGATAGTTCCACTGCACCGAAAAATTACGAATTGGGCTCAAACTTGAATGGATGGATAGGGAAAAAAGTGCTATTAAGCTCACCCAATCCTTTTGTTCTGTGATTTTTAGTCGTAACAATGTAAATGTGGTTTACATTATTTATACGATCAACAAAACTCATTCTTCTGAAACTCCATCAGGCCTGGCCTCCACACCTACCCCGAAAAAAGGCTAGCAAAGCCATAGAAAATAAACACCGTAGATAATAACGGAGGGCACCAATTGAAAAACAAAATGCATAGGCTTATGTCGAATGACAGTCATGCTGGAAAACGGTAGATCTACCGAAGCCGTGTCATTTTGCAAATGCGGAAAAAAACAGCACAACAAAACATACACGTATATAGAATCCATAGAGCAGATCGAGAACTTGAAATACCAAAGCAACCAATTTGGAATAGAAAACCGAATAGCTTTGTTTGTTGTCGTTGTCGTTGTCATTGTCGTCGTCGGCGGCATCGTAGTCACCGTCATTCGACTCGGAAAATACGGCTTTTGCTAGTTTTGCAAATATTTTTCGGTTGTTACATTGTTTTTCTGTTTTCTCGTTCGTTCATTTTATTTTTTGGTTGTTGATGTTGTTTCTTTCTCTTCGTTTGTCGGTTGTATATCTATATTTGGTTTTTTATTATGTAATTCCGCCATAGGGGTTAGTGTTAGTGTGTTGCACAACAAACCTTAACAATTTCAACATTTCTATTCCATTAAGCTTTGTTATCATTCATAAATGTATTTTTTGTCTCTTTTTCTCTCTCTCTCTCTCTCTCTCTATGTTTCGAATCGCTTTTTTTTTCGAACTCCAACAGTTGCAGAACATGACACAATGTGAATAAAATTGGTTAAATCGATACGCTTCTAAGCCGCCCAGATAGTGAAAATAAAAACCAATCGTGGAAGGCATGCGAATAACTGTGAACGGTGTGAGCATGATAGACACGGACCGACATTTGCATGCACCGAAAACATCATTTGAATAATGAATTCCCATTTTCGGCCCATGCACACACTGCCGTTATCGCTGGAAAGTCACTTGTGCGCACATATAATGAGTTTATAATTTAAATGTGCATAAATTCGGTTAATTCATGAATAAAAATTGCGCCTCGATTCAATTTCCCGCACTAAAGCACCCATTAATATATCTTGGACAACAACGAGGCGACGAGGACGTGGACAAGCACGAGCACAAAAAATAACAGAATGGAACTGATTATTTCTGTTTGAATATATATATATCGCATTAATTGATAATATCAGTTGAAAAAAAACGAGCGAATCCGAATTCACTTACGTATTTGACATTCGTATCATATATTCATTGGAGTGTCAAACTGAATAGATCAACATAGTAGTCAGTGGCATGTGTGACAGGACTTTAAAATTAAAGCAAACACGCTTCGTCGAACACATGCATTCGTTTAATTGTTCAGACAATTTTCGTGATTATTATAAATCGATGGAAAATAACAACAACAACAACAATAATAATAACAACCATTTAAATAACGACATTAAATAAACGTGCAACAGCCACATCAACAACAGAAACAGCGCAGAAAAAAATTAACACGAATGGTAAATCCGGTACATGAGATTTAATGTGCAATTTATAAAATTTTATTGATTGCATTTTATGAGGATAAAATGAAGTGTTGTTTGACATGAGCGAGGGAGAAAGAAAAGGTTTTCGATTGCAATAAATTTTACATAAAAGATCACATTTCATGTTTAATATGCGCATGAATTGTCGTGAAACATTGAAAATAAAAGAAAACAATATTATTTGATGCATTATTATTGATGGAAAAGTGCTATTGAATATATACGTTCAATCCATTCAATTAGACACGAATTGAATGAAGAACCGCGTCGCGACGTAAACACCGTTGCCAAAAACACGCATTTTCACGTTAAGCGTTTGAAAATTGTATTGATGTGACAATTGACTCTACGACAAAAACAGAAGCACGACAACCAAAAAATAATAATCCAATGTGTGTCAACAAGTAAATGCCATCATATTTAAAGAAGTACAAGGTAAGTCATATTAATAGATTAGAAATATATTATAAATCTCATTTTTCGAATTATAAATTGATTGGCAGAAATGGGTTGAATCGTTATTTTCGGATCTTTCACGATGTAAGTGCCAAATGCTGTCTCAACAGAGATTATATTTACAATGCAAGTGTCGCAATGTGAGTCAACGTAGTCCACGTATTTTCTCTGAGCTTTTTGGAAAATGTGATTGTCAAAACGTGCACAATATGCAAGAGAAAGTTCAGAAGGGAAATGCAACTGATTTTTGCAACGTAGGCCACATTGACGCTCACCGATTGAGGGTCGTACAACAAATTGAAGGCAATAAATGTATTTGGTTTTAGTGTCGAAGTAACGAACACAAAGCATCATCTGTCGTTGCAGAAGAGATGATCCATATTAAGGCAAATATATTTATTTGCAAACTCTATTTTACTGTCATTTATGGGCGAAATCATTGATATTCTGCATCGCAGCAGATTTAATCGATAAGCAATGTTATTGTGTGCATTATCATATCCGGCTAAAGTCTAAAATGTTGTCACAAGCGCATTCAATATGCTGCTATCCATTTTTTTTGGTGGCATTGGACATGGGTTGCACTGAACATTTTTCGGATCACTTCATTTTCAAGCACATTCAGCCTTACGTATCATTGATTACACACTTCTAATTAATGAAAGTGAAAGGCGGAGTGTTTTGAAAATTTTCAGTGCATCCATTGTGTATCGACATCCCGACTCCGTCATGCAAATTGCAAGTAATCCATTTAATCTCACACTGTGTGTATGCGTCTGTATGAAACGCAATGAACTTTAGAATTTGCTCAATCGATCAAAATCGTGCATTAATTATTTAAGCGTTGAATTTATGCGCTGTGTGAAGGCACCCACAGCTACAGTCAACTAAAAGCATACAGACGACCGAGAGGAACGAGCTAAGCATCCGTCTGAAAAAAGGAATTTTACTTGAAATGATTCGACGACGAGATGGAGGAAGTAAACCCGAAGCAAATTGTCGCTTTCACATTCAATTAAGACATCGGATGGTGGTAAATGTCACCCGCATCTTTGTCTTGCTTCGTAGCGCATCAAATTTGTTTGTTTCAACAATTTTATCGTGCAGCAGACACATATAATCACACACACATACGCCACTATCTATTTCTCGCCTCTGAATATTGTATGTTGAATTACTCATGTCATTTGCTCTTCATGTTTGGTTTTGATTTAAAACACTCGATTCGTCTGCCACACATACATACACATACAGAGTTCAAGGGTTGAGAGCGAAAAAGGATGAGAAATAAAGAAGATGTTGATGCTGAAACACTTTATTTAAACGGTTGGCAAATGTCTTATTTCGGTAGTTCTGGATGTCACTTGGAAGAACGTTTAATTGAAATTTTCCGCTGAGACGCTTCTGCCCTTTTCCACGTAAACATCAACATTTTCGCTCTTTTTTATTGCTTGGGTATGTGTGTGGGTATGTGATATAATTGCTTTGCTATTAAGCAGCAAAACAAACATTTTAAATACGCGTGGTTTATTTGAGTGTCTATTTTTGGGTTACATCGTATGGTATGTGCGGTTCATTTTCGTTTTCCAAATGGGAAATGAAATGCCACGCTTTTTCTCGGAAGATGATCAACGTGCCATGATCTCAAATTGAAAACAACAACAAAAAACATGCCCACATTTGAATAAATACTATGTGATATTCCGTTTGAATCGAATTTCCCATGGCTTGTGTTTGGTCTCGTTTTCCCTGATTTTTGCCATTCCATTCAATTTCAGATTATTTTGCTCTTCCCTTGAGCCGAACTGAGCTGATTTTCGTGAATACAACAAGCAAAGCGAGTGAGCGTGTACGATTTCCATACATGAAAATACCCAATGCAAATTATTATATACATCGGGCTTTCATCACATAAATAATTCCGAATTTATTCCCATGTTTACCATATATTTTATGTGTGTGCGTTTGTTTGTGTGTTTTTTTTTCGTATTTATATTTTCCGTGAATGTGCTGATAATTCGATGTGCTATTGTTGTTTGCGAACCATTTAAAATGAACAAAAATAATGCGTCGCGCGACACACACATACGAAAACTGATAATAATGTGATGCCTCGGCAACCAATCTTTTCAACCCAAACGCACAGATAAAATCGTATATGAAATATGCAATAAAATAGGAGATTGTATTCACAAAGTGTACCGCGCGCGCCACCCGATAGTGATAACTGAAAGATTCTCCCGGAGAAAAAGAATGAGTGCGAGTTTTGCAGGGAAAGAGAGGCGAGAAAATAACAAACCACAAACATCCATGCATTCGAAAGCAGCATTTGGGCTCTCATGCTCTATTCCATACTCATTCGTTTGATGATAAAGATATCCTAACTACAAGTCGGTATTCATTAAGTCGGCTACAATAACAAGCGCAGAAACCATGAATCAGCTCCACATTTTCATTTTCATTCTGGTGAAATTTTCGGTGTATAAGATTGCTCTTTGAATTCTTTTGTGTGGCGGAAAATACAGCCAACAACAACCAGATAATCACAGAATACAATTCTTGCGTTTTTTTTCTCTCTTTTTCTGCTCGCAAGCAAAATGGAAACACATGCAATCATTTTGGGTGGAAGTTTATGTATTCAAAACGGCAGGCAGACATTTGCATAGTTTAATGTGAGTAGTTTTTGTTTTAATGTGAAACACTTTCACTAAACGCCGATTCATCCGCCGGATGTATACATACGCAATTCAGTTGGAAGGCACGCGCGCGCAGAGAACAAGCAAGTAAAAGCAAGAAGACTAGTGTTAATTTGCAAAATGATAAAATGTTAGCTGTAGCTAGCGAATGTGTGGCTACAAATGTGTTTGCATGATGGCATTTAACAGCGAACAAAATATTTCTCTGCCTGGAAATTTTAACAAATGCTGTTAGCAAAAGCGCCTCGCATAGTTTTGGTTGTTTTAAATGCTCAACATGTATAAACCAGAGAGAGATAGAGAGTGGGAGAGGGAGAGGGAAAAGGAGAGGGAGAGGGAGAGAGACAATGCATACTCAACATAGCTTTCGATACAAAGGGCTGATTCCGTACTGAACGACAAAAAGCCAAAAATGCCTTTTCAGTGAGAGGCTCTCATCGTCGTCCCCACATTCGCTCAACATTTCGTTGTTTGCCAAATAATTTTAGGCACATGAATTAGAGACTTCATTTAACATTTGTCTTCGGTTCTCCCTCTCCCTCTCTCTCTGTCTCGAAAAAAGATAACAAATAATATGAGCGCCGGAATGAAATTCTCTTCATATGTGTATGTGATACAGACCCGTGTGCAAATAAAATGACTAACAGTCACTCAGTTGTATGTAACTGTATGTAGTGATACACAACTAAAACTGGCTAAGTTGATTGAAATCATGCGTTTGTATGGAGACAATCACGTTTAGTTATTCTTTCAGTCAGTCGACTAATTTGGGACATTTTGACTTAGATTGATTTGTGATTAAAGTTAACTGCAGTTGCTTATTTTGTTCGAGACAATCCCTTTTAGTCAGTCAAAATGTCCCAAACGACTCGACTCGGAAAAATTTTCCACACGGGGAGAGTGCGTTGTATTTTATGTTAAATTAACTAGTCCCTCTCTCGTTCTCGTTTAGTCTCTCGCTGGCTTTTTGGTGAAACATCGACAATTCATATTCTAACTTCAAAAAATGGCGCAAAAGGTTTTCGCCATTCGCACAATTAACTAGATAGACTATATGTATGGCTGTTTGAGAATGTGAGCACATTTTTTGTTGTGTGCATTCCACATGAATGTGAGCTGACTACCGTTGTAGCCGCCGCCTCCGCTATCGAGCAATTGCTTCGCTATTGTGCTTTTGTTTGATTCTTTTGTCACTTCGGTTCGATGTGTGCGGTTGATGTGCGTGGTACGTACGGGTAAGTATATCAGGCGGAAAACTTTCGAAAATGCCACTCCAGAACAATATTTTCACACTGAAATAATAATAAATGAATATCAGCCTCCAGCCAAAGCTAGTTCATTTGTACGATTTATTTGCGCCAATTTTCACATAAATGAAATGCGGCGAGCAGGCATGGGGGCGAGAGAAAGAGAGAACGGCGGAAGAGAAATGAAAAAAAAATTATTACACTACATGCCATATGAAAATTCATTTGCGTCCAAATGATTGGGTTATAATGTGCGGAACATTCATTTTGAGTACAGAAAATAAATCGTTTTTAATATGCTGTTTCTTTTTGTACGCGATGTGCAGTAGGATGGCAGGCGACGTGAGACGACTAGGGGCAAACGACCCAATTTTTGCTGGCTATGTTTTTAAGTGCGCAACACTAGTTATTATACAAACGGCTTGTGGAAATTACTGGTGTCTGGCTTCAACTCTCTTTCTTTTCTTTTCTCTTTTATGTATTCTCTCGCGTTCGCTGGTTCGTTTTGTATGGCATACACAGCAGCAATGCGGCCATTTCATTGTGTTTATCCTTTCAAAGCATTTATCCGATATACATATTTTCCAACCCCATTTGATGGAATGTGTTGAAAAAATGCACAAATATTTTTTTCTCTTTATCGATTATTTCACAAGTGGATTTTTATTTGACTCAACATTTCTTGTTAATGGGGCTGTTGTTGTTTTTTTTCGTTGGTATCGGTATTGAGTGTGATGCCGTTACTGCGCTCTTCTGTTGATGCATTGAATCCGGTGGTATTTGCTTCCTATGTTGGTATTCATTTAATGAATATATCGATTTCCAGGCAGCAAAAACCAATTTTCAATCCTTTAAACTGGACGTAAATTACATTCAGCTTATTCTCTCTCTGCCTCTCGCTTACTTGCACGTGTGTGTTTGTGAGCGCAGCGTGTTGTATAACTTGTTGTTTTGAGCGTTCACTGGTTACTCGGCGTTTTTTGCCCGGTGCACCCTACGTATCGGATTCCATTATTTGCGTTAAGAGTTAATAATC